TATATATATATACGTATTTGTAAACAACTGAGGTAAAAGGTCAAACTTTAAGAGGATTTAAAAGCAGGAAGTGGGTTATAATAAAACCAAACTCTTAGCTCAGCATTTAGTACAATATTGTGCATCTTAATTATTACAAAGTTTTTAAGTGAACGCTTGCTGTTGTAAATAATTTATGGACAAAAGTGTCTAAATATTAACTTTTCGTTGGCTTGCCACACCAAAGAAAGTCCCCTTATGATTCAGAATTATTCAACAAATTTCACAATAAAATGACACAGTGGAAAAATTTTAAGTGCATGTAGCTGAATGCCCAATCTAATATGTTTGAAACAATAGAGTGCAACTCAAGGGCAAAGTTTTTATTATTATTTTATGTTTTTCTCTATCTTTCTCTTGCTCTCTTTATCCTGTCCTGGAGGTGCAGGATCAGGCAGCTTTTGTGTCTCAGATTTACTGCAGCAGGTTTATTTGAGACCAGTCCTGCAGGAGCGTCATCCAGGAGGTCACCTCGGCTTTAAAATTAATTTGACTTTGTGGCATTTCAGCAAGTATGTGTAGCTAATGCACAAGAATGGAATGTTAAAAGAAAGTCTGATGTTTCTTTCTCTACTTTTTTTGTTACATGGAGAGAGTTTTTTCTTGATTTTAAAGAGTCTTCTTGTTAAAAATACAATAAACTCTACTTCCTCTCCTRTTTTTTCTTATTACCCACCAATAAACTGACTATTTAGGTTAAATTAGTTTTGTCCAAATATGAAAAGAACAAAAAAACAATGTCATCACTGCCAGACCAATCAAGAGTTTTCTTCTTTTATACTTCAAACTCTATTTGTCCTGTTATATCTTTGCTATAAATGGGCAATGGGAACATTAAATTAAAGAGATCATTTGGAAATAGTTGCTCTGAGCAGCGAAGCATCTTAAAAAAAGGACAATCAGCTGAATCACGACAAAGAATGTAAGTGGTTTAAAAGGTTGTTTTTGCTTAAATGGAGTCAAACTTCCAGAAACTGGAGGAGAATGGAAAGAAAATGTTTTGTATTTTTAGTTTTTATGGCTTTGAGTTGGTTGAAACTGGATGGAGGGATGTGTTTACCCTGCAGCACACAACCTCACGTTTTTATTTCTCTTTAAGCAAAAAAAAGTTACAGGTTCCAGGAAAAGCTGGTGTGGATTAGTTTCATAAACCATTAATCCACATAAAAAGTTAAAAATTGACTCATTTTTACATTTTAGGGTGTCGTTTCTTTTCTAAATTCAGTATCGAAATGAGACATTTAATGGAACAAAAAGTCCTTGGGCATTTTTAAGAATGATAACTGCATTTTTACCAGATTCCTGGAGAAACTATTGTATCAACAATGACATTTCTTGGCGGTTAGCAGGATGAAAAGCAGCACCAAGTACTGAAATATGTTGCAATGTCTGCAATTATTTGCATGTGATAAGGGCGAGGTCAGCAAGGCGTGTGGATATTTGTTATGTCTTTGATAGAATGGCCATAAAAACTGTCATGGCAACACATAAAGAATGCGAGAAGCAATACTTCAGATTAATAAAGTAATTAGTGAGAAGTGAAGCACTAATGATGCTGAAATCAGGAACTGCGGTCCTGTTAAACAGCAACAGGTGTTTTTTAATAATCTGCCAGTTTCTGGTGCAAAGTTTAGTGTTGCTATTTTTACAGGATCTTTAAAATACAGCATGTGTAGTAATAGGAATAAAATTTAATATTTCAGAACCAGTAGATAAAGTAAAGTTTATAATGATCATTAAGATACATTTCTATGCTGTTATTGTGTGAATGCAGATATAATTGTTTATAATAGTTTCTTCCATCTGATCAGTTYTATTTGGTTTGAATTGTGACCTGTCAAATTTGGCCAAAATGACCTCACCACATGTTCAGATTCCTGCTTTTTAACATTTTGATTCCTGGATCATCCTGATATCATGAGTGAAAACCTCAAACATGATTTAGATATCAACATTTACCAGCTGGAAAGAAATATATATATATATATATATATATCTTTGCTAGCTTACATTCTGAGTTCAACAAGACACGACACATTTATCTGTTTATAGATCAAAACTTTCATCTAGATTTTAAAAAAAGGACTTTGACTTCAAATGTTTTGAACATTTCCTTTCAGGGAGACAAAGATTCTTTAAATTCCTTTAACATCATTGGTTTGGCATACTTTTTTGTCTTCTTTTGCTGCCTTTAGCTACTATATTACTAATGGCAACTTTTAGTTTGTTTTATTTTTACTTTTAGCTGTGGATGTGCTGCTTTTTTCCTTTAAGTAAATTAGTAAGTAAGAAAAGTTTTATTTATATAGCGCCTTTCACAGAAATAAAGTCACAAGGTGCTGTACATTCAGGGAAGGGGAGAGGGGGCAGTTAAACACCCATTCAAGAAGACATACAAGACAAACATGGGGGAACAGGTGAAACCGGTCATGCAGCAAACACAGTTGCACTACTTTTAACAGCTTGAAATACACAAAAGGAAAATTGAGTTAAACAACCCGCTTTAGCTTCTGTTATGCTAATTGTAGCTACTATTCTAATTTTAGCTATTTTTAGTTAATATTCTGCTGATTTTAGCTACTGTTCTGTTTATTTTAGCTACTCGTCTGCCAATTTTATATAGCTAATACGCTGCTAATTAACAATTTTCTGGTTTTATCTTCTGTTCAGCTTATTTTAGCAAATATTCTTTTAAATTTAGCTAATATTCTGCTGATTGTAGCAACAATTCTGATTTCAACAACTGTTCTGCTTATTTTAGTGAATATTCAGCTGAATTTAGCTATTATTTTCTTATTTTAGCTGCTGTTCTGATTGTTTTAGCTAGTYTTCTTCCAATTTTAGCTATTATTGTACATTTTTTTGCTAATATGCTGCTGATTTTAGCCAATATTCTTGTGATTTAAGCTAAAGTTTAGTCTCAGCTCCTCTCAGGAATATAATCTACACAGATAAATTCAAGTTAAATAATCTCTTCATAGCTGAAATGATTGTTTTGTTCCGGCGGTCATTTAAAGGAATGGTCCGGATAATGTCACCGAACGATTATCAATTCTGCAGAAACAAAAAGGATTCAGGAAGTCATGTATGTGTTTAAACCTCCTGCTGCCTGTGGGTCAAAATGAGTTTAACTCAGGGGCAGCAGGAGGATTTGCTGTTAATATAAACAGATGCAAAATTAACTTCTAACACACCAAAATAGGATTAAAGTGAGATTTATGTTGGTTCTCTGCTTTAAATGATAATACAGATGCTGGAGTTTATTTCTTTAAACAGACTTGGGGTATTTTATCTTTTGGAAAATCCTCATGGTTCAGCTTCTAAATCAGTTTGGACAAAAGTGACATGGCTGTTAGAATAACAAAAAAATAATTTACATTCTTTATTTAACTCATATTTTCACATCATCAAAGCTCACTCCTTTATTTTATTGCCGTTTTTCCCTGTTTGCTATCTCACTGAGCACACAGCCCAATATGTGGCCATTTAGCAGCTCTGAAGATAAGGACATCATTCACGTCAGCCTCTCATCCGCCCTGCCAGACCAACAAAAGAGCCAGACGCCGAAAACACAAAGCTCACATCCRGAGGTTTTACCCCCTGGTTCTGTTTTTAGGGTCCACATTCAGCTCTTTGACACCGTTTTATAAAAGCAGCTAAAAAACAAGCAGCTTTGTCCCTCCACAATAAAACGTCACCCCTCTCCTGGTTACATCTTGAAGTTTTATTGTGTAATTTTCCACTCCTGACATGAAAACTGACTCATAACGACGTGCAGAAAGTTCTACCTTTGAATTAAATCAACAGGAACGGGAAAAAGGTTTGTCACGAGTAAAACAAGAAGATGGTCATTTATTAACACGTGGTTGGGAGGGTTTTTGGGTGTGGAAAGTAGATAAAGATGATAAAACTCTGAAAATGTTRAGGTTTTATTCTGTGGTGATGGGAATGAAACATGCTTCCCTTTTCTTTTCTGAGGAAGTGTTTAATTCCTCAAACTGAAGCACAAAATATGTCAAATCACAGAGGTGTGACGGAGTTAAAGGTAAAAGTGCACATTAATGGAAAACAAAAAATGTGGGAACTTCCCTTCAAATTATTAAACAATTCTGAGAAAGTTTTTGCAAAACAAATTATCGTCTGGACGACATACACTGAGCTAAAATTACATCTGTTGTTTACATTTTTTCATTRAACACAGGGCAAAACTGTTTGACCTAACTTTGTAAGTGATTTACTTTGAAGCACGGCTGTAATGTTTAAGGAGTGTTAAAAGATTTACTGAAACATTCAGGTAAACTATTTTAAAAGGCAAACAAAATGTTCACTTTGTCATGCAGATGATTTGACATWTTGTCAGGTTTTGCTTTTTATTTTGTCAAACATTTCAGATCATCCYATAAATATTAGACAAAGTAACATTGCTTTAAGACAAATTTTACCTTTTAAATGATGGTTTGGTTCATTGTGGGGAGGGGGGTGGGCTGTCCAAACCAACCTTAACCTCATGTTAAATTATGAATTAACTGACTTCGCCACCCACACCCATATCTGATCACTGCCAGGCCTGTCAAATCAATAAATTATTTAAATAGATCCATTACTTACAGACAGAAACACCTTCCCAGGAGTGGCCGGCCAACCAAGATTACTTCATGACCGCATCGACTCATCCTAAAAGAACTCAGAACGTCTACAGCGTTAACTTAATTACATTTATGATTCAAAAATAAGACAAAAATGGCCTCCACGAGAGAAACCCAGGACTGAAACTACTGCAGAGCAAAAAGTACTTAAAGACAAAAACACACCTTGATGATCTTTTTATTCTCTAATCTATGAACTGATGAGAAAAGTGGAACTTATTTTAAAGTGTTTGGAGTTAAAACGAACATTRACTGCAGCAGTCAAACACGGAGGTGGCAGTGTGATGGTCTGGGGTTGGTTTGCTTTTCCAAGTTCAATTAGATTTTTGCATAGGGTTGGGTTTAGGGCTGTAAAAAACTATAGATACCGTGAAATAGATTTATTTCCTGATGCTGTTTCAGTTCTCAAAAACACTTAAGGCCTAATGGATGGGCTTGTAAGAAGAAATGTGAAATACAAGTTCTCAAATCAACTAATCAGTATTTTTGTTTGTAACACAAGATGTGCTCATGTGTATTTTTATTAGAATATTTGCTTACAGTATCACAAATATATTGCAATACTTATTGTGAACCCTGATAGGCAACATACCACCAAATTCTTGCCAAAATTGCCATTTACTTATAGAAATATAATTTTAAAACTGCATTTTGTATTTAATCAGTTTATTCTTACAGTGGTAGTGGTACATCTCAGCTAACGTGCGATGGAAAAAATTAATATGAATTTCAACATTTGGGATCTTTGTCTGGTATTATTTCTTGATGATGGGAATTCTGTAAGGGGTGGATACTCTCACAGCACTGTATATTATTGGTTTTCTCTTTAATTCAGACATAATTTAGGAATATCTGCCAGGGAAATGTTGATTTTTAGGTTTAAAATAACTCTTGATATTTGATGTAATATTCTGGGCATGCAGAAGGTGTTTGTTTGATTTAAATGTTACTATTATTGTATTATTTTTTTTAATAATTATATCTGATGTGAACAGATATTCTTTGGTCTACCTTAAAAGTTTATTTTTGGTGTATTTTATGAAACTTAATGTTTTGTTGACACTTATCAATTAGATTTAATCTCAATGAGTTTTTCTTTCTGGGTAAAAAAAAAAAAAAGGATTAATAACAACTTAGAGGAACATCCCCATCTAGTGGCAAAAACACCTCAAACAACTGACAGAGCCGAAGCACTTCATGGTAACAGCAGTTTTTATTATTTTCTCCTCATTCAGTCACTTTTATTGAACAGATTAAAAACGTGTCAAATGAGGCTGAAAGAACAGAAATAAGAAAATTTGGCGTTGACACCAAAACTGTGATGAAAAATGATGAAATAATTTGTACAGGTTTAAGTTTGATGTAGTGTTTGGTGAATTCTTTTTTTTTTTTTTTTGTAAACAGCAAAAAAATACAGTGATTGCTTTGAACTGAAGGGACCGAACACTGACCGGCATGACACATACAGACCCTGGTGACGGGTCACACAAATGTTGTACAAAAAAAKAAACTTAAATATAATTGTACAGAAACATCGTAACACACACAGCATTTCTGCTACATACAAACCTTCACACTGTTGTCCCTGGTTTTCTGAGATGAGGTATTCGTGAGGCTAATTACTGTTTTGCTCTTAAACGTGGCGACGTGTTCTCGATATGACAGCGTTGCGTTTTTCTCTGCCATGTTTAAGTGTTGCTCAAACAGCAGCAGACCTTCGGGGCACAAAGAGGTTCATTCAGAGAGCAGCAGAGTGACATCATTTCCAGCACTCGGGTTCMAACGTTACTGTGGAAGACAGCGCAATTATTGTCGTCCTTACGGAAAAAAAAGCGGACGTTTTTTTTTTTTTTAATTCAGCATGAAGGTTGCATCTAACTAGACAAAGTCTGGCACCTGTTCTTCATTCGAAGAGGCACRCAGCTTCTAAAAAGGGACAAAAATGCTTAAATACGTACAAACTTCTGCCCGGGCCACTTCTTAAACATTTAATCACAAAGTGTTTTTGACCTCAAAGTCAATACGACGTGAATTTTCTAAGGCGAGCATCAAGGCAACTAAAACTAAAGGTTTCAACTACATTTACATTATCCTGATTAAATATTACTTTATTTTAAAAAGCCCACCCACCTCTAAAAYTTAGAAAGCTTTTGTCACAAACGCTTGCATTCCTTCATCCCAAAGAAACCGTTTCCCGCCCACCCCTCCAAGAAAAAAACCAAAACAAAGGCGTTCCCACCCCACAGAGTTGATCAGAAAACATCATTTATTCCTCGTGTTTGAGCTCGATCCGACAGACGACTTTAAACAACGCGAGCAGCTCAAAGTCTGACACTTTTAGATAAATAAGAGAAAGAAAACGAGAAGGCCATTCTACTGCTGTCCAACAGCAATATCTATAGGCCGAAGAACATCACGTCTGTTCTTTAAAAAAACACCACTAAGACAACTTTCAGAGCGTTCTCCTCTCGGTTTCAAATTAGGGATGCACCGATACCACGTGTGTGTTCTCGCACTCAAAAAATAAGACGTTCAGCCTGAGCAGAAGAATGGGAATAGACGGATCTGAGCCCGAGCTTCCTGACYTTCTCACCACTCAGACGAGGAGAACTCAGAGCTAGACTGCAGCCTTCAACACACAAAACTGAACAAAGACAAAAAGAGGAGTGATTATGGCCAAAATTAACTTTTATCAGATCAAAAAGAAAAAATAAGTAGGTCCTCTGGATGGGTTCTTCTTTAGTGAAARGTTTCKTCTCTCCTCCAAGAGACTTCTTCAGTCTGATGAGTTTCAGGTGAACTCAGCACTGCCTCCACACGGACAAACAGGTTAGTCACATGCAAAAGAGGGCCATAGCCTAACAATAGGGTTGATTAGCTCGATTTGAAGAAGTTTCTTGGAGGAGAGACAAAACGTTTCACTAAAGAACAACCCATCCAGAGGACCTACTTATTTTTTCTTTTTGATTTTTTTCTACCTGGATTACTGAGATCCATCAGGACATTTTGTTATCGGAGTTTTCTACAAGTCAGCGATGAGCCTGAAAAGCTGCTTAATGAGCAGATTCTGCTGTCTTCAAAGAKGACGCTAGGCTAACACTAAGCTAACGCTTTAAACACAGGCTGTGCCCAAATTCAGGGGTTGAGTCCTTTGAAGGTCACAGCCTGTCCAAATTCAAACGCTCCTCCAGTTGCAGGAGTGAGACAGGAGTTCGGTTTTAAACTAAAATCTGACAAAACAAAAATTTAAAGTTTATTGTTAGGCTTTTATTTGCATAGATGTGTTTTTAATATAGTCAGAAATCATCATAAACGAGCTCATCCCTTAATTCATGCATTACCTCCAGGCTAATTTTATTAATTTCTAATACTTARGTTAAATTTTTGCCAATTTCAATCCATATTCGATTTGCTCTTGTTTAGTGCGGTCATGGTTGGCAACATGAAATGTGTTGAGGTAAGGGCATGGATAAAGATCAAGTCCACAACATCTAAATTCACAGCCACTTCTTTCTGGTCTTCTTGGTCAACAAAGGACCAGGCCCATGTAGACCAGGTCAGTCGGGTCCTTCGAAGGACGCAGCTCCTAAATTTGGACACAGCCAATGACTTAAAGTCGTCCCTGAATGATTGATCAAAACCAGAGGTTTATAATAACTAAGTACTTTACTTTGTTTAATTTGATTTTTAATTTTAATTAAATTTTTTGTTACAGTACTTAAGTAATTTTTTTGAGGATTTGTAATTTTACCAAGTATTTATTTAAATCGTGACTTTTACTTTTACTTAGTTACTTTTAAAACCTAAAAACGATACTTTTACTTCTTTAAAGTTTAACACCTAGTTACTTGTTATAAATTAAATCAGTCTGAACTCTTCATGAAAGGAGTTATGCGCTCTAAAAAATTAAGTGTTGAATTTACTCAACTAAATCATATCAACTATTTTCACTAAACCCAGTGGAGTAAATTTGAGGTGATACACTGTACATATTTTATTTTAAAGAAATTGACCAATTTAACCAACTTGGTTTTGTGGAGCCAGTTTGGTTCAGTAAATTTAACAGTTTCTTTGTTTGAGTGCGTGGAAAAGTACTTTTACTTCCCCAGTTTTTGTGAACAGTTTTATGACTTTTACTTAAGTAGTTTTCTCATCAGTGACATTTATTTTTACCAGTCATTTTCTGTTAAGGTATTTTTACTTTTACTTAATTATTTTTTTCAAGTACTTTATAGGCCTCTGATAAAAACCTGATCTATTGCTTATTTTCGAATTATTGTTCATATTTAGCTTTTAGTAATGTTATTTGGCAGAACTAGTGGCTCTGTTGTGCTGGAAAATAACGTGATGAATGTTGTTTTAATTTAAAAAGTGATAAAATACAAATTTTGTTTCTAAGACTAATTGTAGGTAGTGTAATGGTTTGCAGTAGTACTCGGTATTATTTGTACCCAATGTAACAAAAAAAGTGGTATTGGTGCATTCCCACTTCAAATGGTAGATCTCCACAGTGATTAAAACTGTAACTTTACATAATATATATTCTTATAAATATATAGATTTTCATCTATATGGCCCTTATTGAAGAGAACAAGAGTTTCACATTGACATGAAAGTACCATAATCTCTATATCGCTGAGTAAAAAGTGTTCTCAGTGTTCAAATGAGCTGGCAGCAGATCATTCGACAGGTAAAAAAACGTTAAGAAAAATTCCTTTTCGAAGTTGCAAACTTACATTTCTGAAAGAGTTCTCACCGCCCGTRGTGAGCCGCTCCTTTCGTCGCTTTTTCCTGAGTAATTCCTGTTACAAACACTTGTTTTGTAACGCCCGCCCACAACACCCACTCAAAACTTATTTTCACTACCTTTGTTATCAATATGACCTAAAAAAACAGTAAAAAAATTTGCATTTGCAGAACGCCTTGCAGGCTTATTGGAGGAAGATGACTTAAAACYTGAACGTCACTTAAAAATAAAATAACTAATAATAATAATAAAATAGTAGCACAGAGAAATTAAAATAGGAACACAAACTTTTGATGACAGTCTGCTCTTCCTCTCAGGCTTTCATCTGTAGCTTTGGCTTGTTGGTGTTTTGGAACTTGTACTTCCTGGCTCATGAACATCAGATAACAAACTGCTAAACCCTGAGAAATCAGACACAGGCGTCTTTATCCTGTGATCCACCTCCCCGCCGGAGTCAGTGCCGTACATCTGACCCTCTGACTTGAACTGGGAGCCGAAGGCCTGGGCGAAGTTCTCGATCTGGTAGGAAGGCTTAGACGAGTCCAGAGAGTAGATGGTCTCYGCGCCGGACTTCACCGATGCCTGGTCCTTCTGGAGGCTCAGGTCAGATGGGTTTATCTGGTAGGAGGACGGGGGGCTGGAGGAGTGCCGTTTCTCCATCTGCTCGGTGAGCTCCTGAGACGGGGTGAGCTGCTGGTGCGTGAGGGCGTCCAGGGTGCTCAGGGTGAAGCTGTGCTGCAGGGAGGGGCTCGTCAGCATCGTAAAGTGAGACTTTGGCACAGACGAGGGCAGCGAAGGCGAGGCCACACACTGACCAAAGCCGCAGTCCAGCGGGGATGTAGTGTAGATGTTCTTGTCAGCATAGAGGAGGTTTCCCAGGTGGGAACTGGTGAAGGGTCCCGAAGGGGGCAGTCCGGGCCCGAGGGAGAAAGCAGCACTGTGGCTGGTGCGCTCCAAAGCCTGCAGCAGGAAGCGGGAGTACTCGTGCATCTTATCCGACGGGCTGGAGGAGTCGGCGGCGTCGGGGCCGTCGGCCGAGGCGGGGTTCAGCTCCACGTGCTGCTCGCCGATGTCGAAGTGAATGTCGTGGTGCGAGCCGTCGGGTTTCTGGGTGTAGTGTTCCAGGAGGCTCTGCAGAACCTCGTCGGGGATCCCCGACTTGTCGAGGCTGAGATGAACGTCGCCGTCCATCAGGTTTGAAATGGAACCCTGAAGGTCAGACGGCTGCAGGGACATGTTGACGTTGACGTCATACTCGCTGCCGGCTCCTGCGGGAACAGTGGGACCGGGGGCGTTTGCACTGTTGGCTGCCTGAAGGTAGCGGCGCTTCTTTACGAACTGCATGGCGTCGTCATAGTTGCTGCTGGTGGACTCCACTTTAGGCTCGTTACTCTGCAGGAGCAGGCTTTCCTGCTCCAAACCTGCTTTTTTCAGGCTCTTACGGTTGGCCTTCTTGAAGGCCATCTTTGGGGCCTGGTGGCCCTGTTCCATGCTGGGCCCAGGCTCAGTAGAGGAAGACACAGTTGGATTCTCTCCAGAGTACTCATGGACGACATAGCCTCCAGATAAATCTACATGCATATGCGACTTACTCACTCCTCCTCCGTTTCCCTTCTTTTTCTTGCGCTGCCCTCCCTCTGCAGAGTTTTTGGACTTCCCTCTCTTCCTCCCAGTATTTCCCTGAGTGATTCCGTAGCTGCCCTGTCCCGCGTCTCCACAACTCAGGTCCATCCCAGGACTCAGCTCCTTCTTTATGGCTTCTCCACAGGTTCTCTTGTGCTTAAGAAGTCGATCTGTCCGCGAAAAATACTGAAGAGGACAAACATCATGACTTTACATGTTAATAAAAATCATTAAACTGCAGACGAGGATTTACTGGATTCACACACCTGTTGGCAGGTCTCACATCTGTACGGCTTCTCTCCGCTGTGCGTCCTCTTGTGTCTCTCCATGTGGTACTTCTGAATGAATCGCATGTTACACTGATCGCAGCAGAACGGCTTCTCTCCTGCCGCACAAAAACAGCACAACTCCAGGTTAATCACCAGCTGCTGCTTAAAAGAAAAAAAAAAAAGACTCCAGAATAATTCCAGGAATCACTAACCGCTGTGGATTTTCTCGTGTCGCTGGAGAAGGTATTTCTGAATGAAGCTCATGTTGCATTCACTGCACCTGAAGGGTCTTTCACCTGAAATAAAAACACACGAGACAAATTTAATCGAAGKTGTTTAACCACTGTATGTTTGTGATTTGTGCAGATTATAAATCTGACTCATGAGTTTTTCATGTAAAATACTTCAAAATTTCCAAACTCAATTAAGCAAACGTCTTCAAAATGTAACTGAGAGCATTAAAACTAATTTTATATGTTAGTAAAGTTAAAATTACTAAAGCAGTTGGGAAAGAGCACAGACAGACTACACATCACTCGTAACATGATCAATAGCGCATGACCTCCCAGTTWTATTCGCTCTTAAAATCAATTTTCTAGATCACTGAACTGGCAGTTTTGTGGCAACACAATTACCACATAACAGCTAAACACACTCACCTGGGAAATAAGAGATTAAAACAAGAAAATATTAATCTCCTCTATAAAAAATACAGGTGAGAGGGAAGGACTTGGACTTAAATTATAGGCAACAACTGGAAAAAACAGCAGCACTGACGAGAATTTGAGCTAAAGGCTTTTAGAAATAGGAAAGATTCCAGAAAAAGATCTACATTTATGATAAAAGTAATGAAGGGTTCACATCTGAGAGTCAGAAAATACAAAGAATACCAAAATATCTAAATGAAACTAAAACTGATTGTCGAGGTTAAACTGATAAAAAAATCCAGCACAGATGAAGAATAGAGACACCTGCTCACCTGTGTGAATGAGGACGTGTCTGCGAAGGTGGTAGGAGCTTCTGAAGGAGGCGGTGCAGTGTTCACAGATGTGAGGCTTGTTTCCTGGAGACAGACTTCCTCCTTCTGCATCCAGCATCATCGACTGCTGCTGATCAGGAGAAGTCAGAGTCGGTCACATCAACGTGAAAACCCACAGAAATTACTTAAATATGGACAGAATCTTWTTTAAATTACCCAAAAGCTCAAGGTGACATGAACATCTTTACTACAGGGTTCCCACACCTTGGTTAACATCAAATTCAAAGACCTTTCAAGGACTTTCCAGTACCAATTTCCTCAAATTCAAGAACCACACGCGACAGCAATTACCTGCTGCRACCACAGAATGTTACCAATAAACAGGCTTAATATCATGTAAATTCAATGAAAAACTGAACATACAAGTTGTTGGGTCAGAATCAATGAAAGAAAGTGGATTAAATGTTTACCCTACATTCATATCTACAATAAATGGACATGTAATTATGTCCTGGGAGGTTGGGCAGCTCAGTTTGGGAGGAGGGGATGTGAACAGGTCCAGAACCTCAGTGAGGACAGGAGGAGCTGTGGTGCTCTCACCTGTGCTCAGAAAGAACGACCCACCCTACTCTGCTCTGATTGGCTAAAACAATGACTATGGTTCATGTTATTTGTTGAAAGTCACATCAGTTTACCATAATCCAAGTTATCCACCGCAACAAATGTAAGGTATTTTATTTTATTTTATTATTAATATATATTTTTAACAGATGATGAAAATCAGTCGTTTGAATAGAGAACTTCAATCCCCCAAAAGCATTCAAGGACTTTCAAGGACAAGTGTAATTTTTGGCTGTTTTCACAAACTTTACAGGGCCTTAAAATCTTTTTTTTTTTTCAAATACACAAACTTTTAAGAATTTCAAGCACCCGTGGGAACCTGTTACTAGTTTTCTCAAAATGACACCAGATTTTATTTAGAAAACTTAACAACTTACTGAGGCTCTAAAAGGGCACTGAAGTAAAAATAAATTAAGTTTTGTGTGTGCAGCATGTAGTTATTTTTCATTGATGTCAACGATGGCTGCAGAAGGTCTGTTAAACCTTTTGTAAATGTGAAATATACCTAATATTATCACCCAAAAACTGATGGTAAACTAAGGTTTATTCATGTAGGACAAGGTTATTAATCCATTGTCATATTATTGAATTGCATTAGTAATGTCACGGGACTAAGCAACAAATCTTGCCTCTTCAATTAACTAAAATGTAATTTTTTAAAAACTAAAACATAAAACGCTCTAAATGTTTTCATTTATAGACTGATGTGAATGTCTGAACTGTAARGACTGATAAGGAGCTGGCACAATATATTGAGAAATAGGGAAACAGACTTCAAGCACTCATGAGAAAGTTTATTTCTCCTTCAATGCCTCTTTAGGGGCTCAGTACCAATTATAGGTGTAGGACACTTTTTAAACCAGTACAAACTAAATTTAAAGCTGTTTGTGTGTCTGAATTTAGTATTTTATTTAGTCTTGTTTGAACAGATTTAAATTAGATTAAGCATCATTTTAATATTTTCATATAACTTGTTTACACTGTCTTTATTGTCCTCCTTTCAATCTATTAATGAATGTTATTTGTAGCTGCAACAAAAGAAATCCTCATCAATCTACAGATTATTTATCAATCTATCTAAAGTACATCCATCAACCCAACATCTAAAATAAAAAGTTAATAAACTCACCAAAAGATCAAACAAAACAAACCTTTGCCTCACTTCTCTTCTTTCTTGGTTTGCCCCCCTGTCCATCACCGTGTGACCACCGACCTTTCTTCCCGGTGGCCTCTTTTTCTAACTGACTTGACAGCTGCGGGGATGACAAAGAGAGACGAAGAGAGAGAGAGAGCCGTGAGAGCGAGCCATAACGAGGAAATCCCTCGGTTTAGGGGTTAAGGGTCCCCTGTTGAAAATTAGCATWAAAACAAGTCTGTGTTAGCTGCTTCTGCAAACAGAACGAACACTCGCAAKAATGTGTGCAAAATGTTTGTTGGAGTGTCTTTGTGAAAGACGTGGTTAAAGTAGGCGACGGGACAAAGCACAACATTTACGAGCTCCTGCARACGTCACACACTCAGTGACACATTCGTTACGACCAGTCGTTAAACTTTTACTTAGACAAAAGCAAAAACCCTAAAAAAATTAAGATGATAGGATCWTATTTTCTGCTCCCAAAGCACTGCTGCCGTATCGAGACTGACAGCACAGATGTGTCTGCACCTGCTGATCTTAAAATCAAATGTTTTGAGTGAAAACAGGGAAGAGTTGACTCACAACAAAGAGTTTCAGGTCTGACCAGAGCAATCTGACTTTATGTTTCAACCAATGTGGAGAAAAGCAACTCGAGTCTGAATAAAAGAAAACAAAAAAATAAAAATAAGTCAGCATATGTGAGGATATTTGAATCTATTCAATATTCAGCCCCGCTGACCTCTGCAGGCAAGTCTTTGTAAAGAGAGTGTGGATGTGTTTATTTCTATTTGAATGAGTACAAAAGACGTCTGAAATGAAGCGCGAGCTCGAACGGGACAGCTGTGTCCTCGCCGAGACGTTCTCATTCACGCTGAGGCCGGATGACGTCACCCTTCTGCTCAAAAGGAAGAAACGACTTCACGTCTCGAGCCGTCGGCAGATTTATGTCTCCATAACATAGAACAGAGACGCCATGCAGGGACAAGAAAATCTGGAAGCTTTTCTAAAAGAAACCGTTTTTAATCTGGTCTGTGTGCATGGTGATTAAAAACAAATTAAAAACAGAAGAAAAAAATCTAAAACCTGAGCCTCGAAGGAGAAAAACACTCATATTTGTTTTCTATACACAATCAATTTTGTTAAAATTCAGTGTTTTATATTTTTGTCATCATCTGGATCAGTAGAAATCCTGACTTACTTCCTGTCCTCTGAGGTACTTACAATGCCCATGTTGAAGTCGTGCACCAGCAGTTTCTGGTTGTTGCCGCCGACGGTCACCTCCAGCAGCTCCGTGCCCTTCATCAGACCTCCGGGGTAGAGCGGCAGGCGGTAATCGTGCTCTGACAGCTTCTCCTGTTTGATGCCCAGGGTGTGCACGTAGTCCTCCGCCCCAGCACACCTAAGGCTTCCATCCTGAGTGCCCGCGCTGCAGTCGGGGGACTCGCGCTCCTTCTTCAGGATCAAATCTTGCGGCGGGAGCTCCTGCATGACGGTGTGGGTGGCCACCCGGGTGAAGCTGGTCACCGGAGGGAGGTGGCTGAACATTATCATCCCGGRTCCAAAGTTGGAGTCCATGCCTCTGTTGGAGAGCAGGAATTCATTTCCTAGCTTGTCTTGAATGATGCTCATGCTGAAGGCTGCTGGGCAGGAAAACTATCGAGGGGAAATCAGTTTCATCCTGTGAGGAAAACAACGGCAGCAGGTAAAGTTTAGGTACTAGAATACTGCTTAAAAAATAACTCGGGCATAAAAATCAATCTGGAAGAACAGTTTTGAGCCAGATCAACTTCAGAAATCAGTGTCACGGCATCTGATCTCACCCCGAGGTGCTTAATCAGATTAAAGTGACGGTTTGTGGGTCAATAAAGGGCTACAGTCTGGAACATGTGAAACTGAGGTGAAGAAAAAGATCCAGACTGGTTAATTAGTCTTTGCATTCTGTATTTTTGGGCCTCAAAGTTCACGAAGGCGGACGATCCAGACAACACGAGACAAAGAATGACGGCTTTACGCCGTGTGTTAATCTTTTTGACTGGGTTGTGTGACTCGGTCATCCCATTTGAATGAGCTTATCTGGAGATGAGAGCGCACGTAAACAGCATTAGGGTAACTGTTTGTACACTTCTAAAGCTGCAGCATAAACAAACTCTTTTAATGGCTTTAAATTAGGCCAGTTATTTTTAAAACATGCACATGCCACTAAAAGACAGTTTCAGTGCATTTCAGCAACTTTACTTCTACTTTTATAAGATTTTCTTTTACATTTGGGTTAAAAGCTAAATAGATTTGGCTAATTTATTGTTTAGTTTAAAATTCTAATAATAATAATAATAAT